GAAGGAAGATGGTGAAGCAAAAGAACAGGGTTCTCAAGAGGTCTTTCCTTCTGCGGCACAGTTAGAGCTTCTTAACGAGTCTGCCACCCAGAATGGTTCTTTCTCAACTCAGGCTGCGGAGTCAAAGAGTGTAAAGGAAGTAAAAACTCCCTCAAGTCAACAAGAAGAGTTTACATGGAAGCTCTGTAACACAACTGCTGGGCCAGATTATATTCCTTGCCTTGATAATTGGGATGCAATCCATCACCTGAGGAGTACTAAGCATTATGAGCATCGGGAAAGACATTGTCCTACTGAGCCTCCCACTTGTCTTGTTCCTCTCCCTGAAGGTTATAAGCGACCGATTGAGTGGCCAAAAAGCAGGGAAAAGGTAGACAACATGCAGCCATCACTGTGCAAATTTTTTTTTTTTATCTGTTCTTTTGCTAAAAGGGGCTATTTTGATGTGTTTCTGCAGGTCTGGTATGCTAATGTTCCACACACCAAGTTAGTGAAGATTAAGGGGCACCAGAATTGGGTGAAAGTTAGTGGCGAGTACCTCACTTTCCCTGGTGGCGGAACTCAATTCAAGCATGGAGCTCTTCACTATATCGAGTTCATTGAACAAGTGAGCCTCCATTTTGCTTTTGAACAACTTTATGTGAACTGTCCTTGCTCTTGGAGTGTCTTTAGTGCATTAAAAAAAAAAAATACAAAAATCAGATGTGTTTGCTTCAATCAGTAATTTATAGGACAATCTGGAAGATAAAAAATATTGTGGTTAATATGATTATACCTTCCTTAGTGTTATGCTTGCCATGTTGCTTATTGTGGTATCTGTGTTATTTCCATAGATGTTACCTGATATTGCATGGGGGAAACGTTCACGTGTTGTGCTGGATGTTGGATGTGGAGTTGCCAGCTTTGGAGGTTTCCTTTTTGAGAAAGATGTGTTGACCATGTCATTGGCTCCAAAAGATGAACATGAAGCTCAAGTGCAGTTTGCTCTTGAACGAGGGATTCCAGCCATATCTGCTGTGATGGGAACACTGAGACTGCCCTTTCCTGGGATTGCTTTTGATATTGTCCATTGTGCTAGGTGTAGAGTTCCATGGCATGCAGAAGGTAGTTTTAGCATATATGTCTTGTTAATGATTTCTTTTAGGCAGAATGTTCTGTATTGGAGTTTGGCCATATTCTCACTTCAGCAATTCAGTATAATTGTTTAAATTATTGTGTTGCAGGTGGAAAACTTTTGCTGGAACTAAACCGTCTGTTGCGTCCCGGAGGTTATTTTGTATGGTCTGCCACTCCAATATATCAGAAGCTTGAAGCAGATGTTGAAATTTGGAATGGTAAGTTATGAATCAGTGTTTTTCTTTAGTTAATGATTTCCGCAGTTGATTTTAACATTACAACTCTTTGTTCCTCGTCAGTAATTGATTTTGAAATTATGCCAATTTTATCTGTTTCTTATTCACAGCCATGTCTAAACTGACCGAACAATTGTGCTGGAAACTCATTAAGAAGGAGAAAGATACAGTGAATGGGGTTGGTATAGCAATATATCAAAAGCCATTTTCTAACGAGTGTTATGAACAGAGGTCACAGAATGAACCCCCATTGTGTGAGCAATCTGATGATCGTAATGCTGCCTGGTAATTTCCTCTTTTTTGTCTTTTTATTTATTTATTTTCTTCTTATGTTTGGGATGCCTAAGATCATTTTAGGCAGTGGCAGATCAGAATTTGATCCATGTGGTTTTGGAGTTGTTTGAACACAACACAAAAATACATTTTAGGGACGGTGTTTGACGCCTGCTGTCACTGAAATATGATTTTGCTGGAAAAAAAGAAGCTTTTGTTTATAGGGAAAAAATACCTTTTATAGCACTACAGTTACCCAGCATGTAATCCATCCACTAAAACAAGCATACAAAATTAATTCATATTGACGAGTAGGATTTTATTCATTTTCTCGTTTATCCCTAACAAGTGGATCACACACTGGATATACAAAGTTAGTGATAAAATTTCTCAATTAGTACCTTTCGATTTTCCAACAAAAACAGGTTGTTTTATATTCTTTATACAAGGCTTTTGAGCATCATATCTTACAAAGCCGAGGCATAAGTTTCTATTGTTGATGTCAGATTTTATAAATACTATCATAGATTCATAGATATCACATCAGTTTTAAATTTCTTAAGTCATAGAGTATGTCCTTGATACAAATGCCTCAACCTTTTCAGCTATGATAATCGAAAGCTTTGTATTAAAAAAAAAAAGGGAGAGCTAAGAAAATAATAATAAAAACAAAAGAATTGAGAGAGGTAGTGACGAACTATAATTCGTCCAACTGTCCAAGTGAATTTTCCCCAGTTGTCAGTGCATGGAACTGGACTTTGTTGTTTCTTTGCATTAGGTTATATTTGTACCAAGAATTTGACTCTATTTAGGCATTAGTATGTTATATGCATCATTTTGGTAGCTGCGAATTTCCCAGCTTAGAATGCCCACTTGGATCTTTTGCAGGAATGTCCCCTTACAATCATGCATGCACAAAGTACCAGAAGGTGAAACTGAGCGCGGGTCTCAGTGGCCAGAGCAGTGGTCGGCCAGACTGCAGAAATTACCATACTGGTTAACTAGTTCCCAGGTTGGTGTTTATGGTAAGTCAGCACCCGAGGATTTCACTGCAGATAGTGAGCACTGGAAACATGTGGTTAGCAAGTCATATCTTAATGGCATGGGTATCAGCTGGTCCAATGTGAGAAATGTGATGGATATGAGAGCTGTCTATGGAGGGTATGTCTCATTTACTGATCTTTTAATTTTAAAGTTTTGCCTATGTTATTCTCTTGTGAGAATAAGTGCATAATAATACTATTGTTATCCACAGATTTGCTGCAGCTCTGAGAGACTTGAAACTCTGGGTCATGAATGTGGTGACAGTAGATTCACCCGATACACTTCCTATAATATATGAACGTGGTCTGTTTGGGATTTATCATGATTGGTGCGAGTCATTTAACACTTATCCTCGATCTTATGACCTCCTCCATGCTGATCATCTCTTCTCCAAAATCAATAAGAAGTATGTACCATGACTAATATTTACGGGTACTGATTATACATAAAACTTATACGATGTGATTATGCTAACTATAAATTACCTTTTTGCGATCTGAATTCTGTAGGTGCAACATGCGAGCCTTGGTTGTGGAGGTTGATAGGATCTTAAGACCAGAAGGTAAGATCATTGTGCGTGATCACGTTGAGATCATCAATGAGTTGGAGACAATATTCAGATCTATGCATTGGGAGATCCGGATGACCTATTCCAAGGACAAGGAAGGTTTGTTGTGTGCCCAGAAAACAAACTGGCGGCCCGAAGAAGTAGAGACCTTGAAATATGCTCTCATGTAAGATATCTGGTCTCTGGAAAGGATCTCCAAGCCACGCATTTTGATTACTTGATTAGGTATTCTTTCAGTTATTTAATAGTTGCAAATTGCATTTTGTATTAAACTGTAATTTTTTGCTCCCCCCTCCCTCCAAAAAAGAGAAAGTTCTTGGTGTTTAGGTCTCGTCTTCCCAAATCCTTAGTGGGTTAATTGTAACATTATACGAAATATTGATTTTCTGCTAGCGTATAGCCACAAAACTCAGCATAAATGTCGATAATTTTGTTTCTTTGTCATGGTGGATAGTATTGTAAGCATAATATTAAAAGTTATCGCGCAAATTATGATACATTTGTTGTTCTAACTGAGCTCTGTCTGCTCCTACATGGATCTTTGTCATTTGCACTTTTGCAAGTTTTTGGTATGGTCTGAACTCTGAATGAAAGTTTCTACTTGTCCATCCATAATAAAATTATAAAGAGTATGGTGGTGAATTTGTACGCCTTTCATTCTGTGATTGCTAATTGCACTCAAAATCTACAGCCATGAAATTGTAGGCTTTTTTTTTGGGGTTCTTGTATCGGAGGCAGTAATTTCTGCTTCGGCATTATTAGCAGGCTGATATTTCTAAATTCATGGGGAGCTACATAATTTCTGCTTCGGCATTATTAGCAGGCTGATAATCTTACTACAAAGTACAAATTACTCATATAATTGCCCAATTATTATACTAATAGCTGGTCCACTTGATCCAGAATCTGGACACTAAAGGATTGCCAAATCTAATTCTAAATCCAATCCAATCATATTTATAAAGTTGGATCTAAACTGACAGCTAATGAACCCTGACTCATGGGTTCCGATTGCTTAATTCTGGACTTGCTTGTTTGTAAAGGAACGCAGAAGACAAAAGTATACTTCATCCGTTTCTATTTTAGTTGTAATGAACTAATGATTGTTTTATCCCGATCTATATACCTTGACTATTACTAATGTACGGAGTACTTCGTATTTGATTGGATATAATTATAACTTACAAAAGTTGATAATTTGAAACTAAATCCATTGAATTGACTCTATCATATCTTTCTTTTGGAGTTTATGAATGAAATAAAATATACTTGTATACTTGCATTTTGTCATTAACCTAGATTCATAAACTCATTTAGACATCAATCCAAATATTTGTGGTAAATTCAACTACTTAGATTAGTTAGATGTTATAATACTCCCTATATTTGTATCATTTCGACTTTCTCCATTTGTTAATGTCATTTGATAAATTGTGACACTCTTTTCCCAAATAAACATTCAATAATAATAATAATAATATACGAGTACGAGATAGACTATTAATTTTAGACAACACGATTGGGAGGAATATTATGTTTTGGATTAAATTAGCACTACATACTATTCATGTATATCCTTTACATGTTGAATTGCATGCCTTTTTTTTTTAATTCTTCTAAAATCTTGCCTCAAATTCCTACATAATCTTACATATTGTACGGAAGTACGGATAGTAAATTATCTAATAATGCTACACTAACTACACAAAAACAAAATAAGTTAAAATTAGGTCATATGGAATGCTGTTTATCAACATTAATAGGTAAATTAGGGCTCTTAACAGAGAGCGAGTCCCACGGTCAAAATTAACCAAACACTTACCACTTCACTTGCCTATTTTTTTGCTTTTTTTGCCATTTAATCACAACCCAAAAATTCTTATATTATTTTCTTCCTAATTATCACTAATTCAATTTTTTCAAAAAAAAAATATTAATACTTGTGAAAGATAAAAAGTAAACAAACAAAAATAATAATAAAAAACCGTTAATATAGACATGGATGGTGAAAGCCTTAGAATCAAGCAAGATAGAATCAAACAAGAAAGCCCTGATAGCCCTTGTTCTAAGAACAACAACAACGACAACAAGAACAACAGCAACAACAACAATAACAACAACAACAACGCGAGTAATAAAGAGCAAGACCGGTTTCTCCCTATAGCGAATGTAGGGAGGATCATGAAAAAGGTAATTCCACAAAGTGGAAAAATTTCTAAGGATGCGAAAGAGACCGTTCAAGAATGTGTTTCCGAGTTTATAAGCTTTGTCACGGGGGAAGCCTCGGACAAATGCCAAAGAGAAAAAAGGAAGACTATCAATGGTGACGACATTATATGGGCTATAACAACCCTTGGTTTCGAGGATTACGTGAATCCCTTGAAAATGTACCTTAATAAGTTTAGAGATATTGAAGAGGAGAAATTAAATGTTCCTAAGCAACAACGATCAAATGATCAATTACATCAACTTTCACAACAACATAATCATCAAAGGTTATTACAACACCACCAACAACATGATCAATTTCAACAAGTTGATCAAGGGTTGTCACCTTATGCTACTAGTATATATTCTTCTACAAACACATTGTTGCTTCCTCAACCGTCTTTTCCGGTACCGGAGCAGCCGTTTTCTTTGCCCTTCTCACCAAGTTCTATTCAAAAGAATTACCAACACCAAGATCAAATTGATTCAGTTGGCCATTGGTGAAGAAGAGGAAGTAACTTGCTCTTTGAAATTTTGTTTTTAAAATTTTTGGTATTTGATTTTTTTATTGTTTATTTTATTTTTAATTTTTTTTCACTATGGAATAATACAATGTGATACATAGCAATATAATATAAACAATATAGAAGAGGAAAACAACACATATACTTATTTCAAAGACGTAAGAAATTCAAAATTGATTATCTTTTTAAAATAAGCTACTTTTTCAGCTTCGTCTTTTTTAATTGCAACATTTTGATTTTTCACTCTTAATGTTAAAAGACAAATTTGGCTGTTAAAATCATTTTACATGTATTAATAACCTTTACTTTTTATTCCATATTTATTTTGTATCAATAAAAACTAATAATGAAAGTTGAATTTTTTTAACTAAAAAACACACAGAAAGTATTAACGAGATTGAAGACGAATTACACAAGCAACAAAAATCCGATTTGCTCCCACAGTGGTGTACTAATTGGAGTAGAAGGTGACATGGTTAACCGTCTATTCATGCATTATCTTATTTGTTGATAGACTTCTTGGTTTGTGCACTAGTATTTGTAACAAGATAAGACGTGTTGGAGTTTTCTTGGTTATTTTGTCATGGTTGATTTGCACAAATTTTTGTTTTATTACTAGGAGATGTTTTGAGATTGAAACTCTAAATTTGACTCTTTTCTTTCATGTGTTTTATTAGGTGTTTTATCACAAAATTTGACTCCTTTTCTTTCAAGTGTTTAGTGCAGGTTTGCCCAAGAGTGGGCATGAGAGGATAGGAAGCACACGTTTTTTTCAATCTTGATAATTATTCATGGATTTTAGGGAGAGGGTAAAAGTCAAGTTAGTAATATTAGCGTTAATACGCTTAGATAGATAAAGGCAAGATTGGTAGTAAAGAAATGAACATACGATATTTGTATGGAGGGAGTGTATAGTATCGGAGTATGTATTGGAGGATATGTAGGTGGGTACTTGCTCCAAATGATGCCCAACACCACTATTTATAGGTGATATATGGAGGTGGAAGAAGTGTGTGGAAAATTCTGTACACATGCTCTTTAAATTGCCACACAAATCTAGAATTTTCATGACCATTCACCAAATTCTAGATTCTTCCACAATTCTCCATCAATTTCTAAATATACGAGAATTTTCTAGAAATTTTTAGATACCTTCAGACATAATTAATTGGGCTTATGGAATTTGAGTCACTCTAACCCAACATTAGATAACGAAGAACCTCTAAAAGCTCTACCACTCCTTTGTTTTTTCCTTTTGCCAAGGAGTAAGCTACTACTAAGAATTTCCCTTGTGTTTATAAGAGAGTATGCCCACATTAAAATGGGAAGAAGCATGTGGTTTTCCCCTTTTCTCTCTTGCGATAATTTTAAATCTTATAAAGTCAATAAAAAAACTAAAGACGGGTTAATCACATTAATGCAGTTGCATACATGATCAATTTAAAGAAAACCAAAAGCACCTCTAAAAGCCCTCTTGGTCCAAGTACACGCATGGCAAATTCAAACAAAAAATAAAAGGGTCAATTCCGACTCAGTAAAATAATTTTTCTTAAACCTACTAAATAAACAAGAAAAAAGGTTTCAAGTTTTTTTTATTTTTAATTTTTTATTATTATTATACAATGCGAAAATGACATTACATGCAGGCGGAACAACATACAAACCAAGATGAGAAGACAAATTCTCTAACTTCATTTCATTTTATTTTGCATTGTACTTAAATATGAGCCTAGTAGCTAAAAAAGAGGTAAATAATAATAAAAAAAAATTAAGCCAAATTAGAAGAGGGTAACCACTTGAAAAAACTTTGAAGGGTAGTAACATCAGCTCTGTAATGAAATTGGGTAAATTCCATCAAATGAGGCCATTTAAAATCAGGGTATCTCCTACAATTTGTCCCTTCTTCTCTGTCAATCATATCTTGTGGGGGCCTCACTATTTTGTCTTCTTTTGGATTCACAAAGAAAACCAATGATTTTCTCTCTTTCTTCTTGTTCACCACTGCCCTATGCAAGCAACTCTTGTATCTCCCATTAGACATTGCCTACACATACATACAAACGATTTTACAATCATACTATATGCTAAAAATATATTTCGTGTATATATAAAAACAAATCTAGCTCTCCTTTTTTTGGTTAGATAAGTGCGTGAAATTTACGCAACTTATCAATAATAAACTCAAAATATATATATATAGGTTATGATATGATCTGATAGAATTTTACTATCATACTAGGCGCTAAAATATATCATGTGTATATATAAAAATAAAGGTAACTCTCATTTTTAGGTTAAATTATGCATGAAATTTATGCAATTTATCAATAATCTGAAAGTACAGGAAATGATCATCATTTATCAATGTCTATTCGGTCATGTTATGACAAAATTTCGGCCCAATCTTTTGCTTAAACTTCATCTATTTAAGTCCGTGAACACTTTGATCACCTTAAAATATTCTTTAAATTCCCAAGTGTATGCATATTTGTACAATCTATATATAAATAATCTATCTCTATACGGCGCATATTTATTAACTTTAGGTGTAGAGAAAGTCAAGCATGAATGAAATTTGATCTTTGAGTAACACTTTAAATTTTAAGACTTTAACCGATTAATAAAGTCAGTAACCTTTACATTTTATTATTATTGTAATTCATTCCTTAAGAATAAATAATCAAATTAGGAGTCAAACTATTTCTACATACTTGAGCATACAAGTAAGCGGAATAAGCCTAATATATATACGACTTTTTAATAATAAAACTTATGCTGCCAACTGAGTAGTGTGCAATAAATTAAAATTTCTAATAATCAATGAGGTAATAAAAATTTAGGTTATAATGACTTAGTTTATATTGCAATGTATAGTGTAAAAGCTCAAATTATTTGGATGGAAAAAAGAAATTAAAGCATCACCCATGTAATTAAATCAATTATTGTTATTGTCAATAATTTTCCAAGCAACTTGACAAAATGCTACTATGTACCTCAAAAAATCTATAGTACTACGTTGGTGATTTGTTCACATTAAACTAGATATGGCCTACTTAGAGCATAAGTTTATAGTACTACGTTGGTGATTCCAATTTCAAAAATCATGTCATACAAAAGAAAATGGATAAATACATGAATATTTCTCATGCGTGAATCACAAAATATGATCAAGTAAAGCATGGACATAGAATAATAGAAATTCAAATGTATGTTGCAGTTAAAAAAGAACAACAGATGAAATCTTTACCATGAAAGTATCTCCTATGTTAATAACGAAGGCATCTTGTCTAGGTCGAACAGCTTGCCATTTGTTGTGTGCAAAAACTTCAAGGCCACCGACCTGGTCTTGATGTAGAATGGTCAAAGAAGTCGGGTCACAATGCGGGCCTGTGCCAAAGGTTAGGCTTGGTTCATTGCATGGTGGGTATGAGTTGCATCTAAATAGTGAGTTTCCATCTTCAAAAAATTTCCTAAAATATTTTCTTTCAATTCCCAAACTTATTCCTAATAGCTCAAATATTACTAGAGAGAGATCCTTCATGGCTTCACAATATCTTTGGTACACCCACCTGTGGATACGTGAATAATATATTAATGTACATATAATGCGATTTTTTTACATTAGTTTCTCTTTTATTTATTTTTAAATAAATGGATTAATGTAAGCTCATTAATTACTTTATTTATGTATTATATACTCTGTTCGTTTCAAATTAATTGTAATAATTTGCTTGACTTTTACACAATCTTTTTTATTTACTTTGACCGCATATTTACCTTGTAGAAAAAAATATATATATTAATAGATAAAGTATTGTTATATAAGTTTTGACATATACTAACAATTTAACTATTATCCTTTAATACTCTATATATAAAAATAATAATTATGGTCAAACTTTTACAACGACAAACTTAAAAGTATGTTAGATTATCGTAAATAGTTTAAAACAAAAAAATGACACTTATACCAACAAACTTACCCTGCATATTCAAAGTCCTCTCCTAATGAAGATTTGATATAATCAAACACAATAGGATTATAAGAGTTCATCATACCACCTTGATCATCAACATAATTGTAGCCAAAAGAGAAAGTCTCTTTCCAAGGAAGTTGTTTAGAAAATCTATGAGCATGGGCACCAGAATAGCCCCACATTTCTCCTTTGTTCCTCTGAACCCTTAATTTCTTATCCAATGGCAACTTGAAGAGTCCATCCATTTGGTCATGGGCAGCCCCAATGAGGCTCGAATCGACTCGATGATTCGTGACTTGGAAGAACCCATGGGTTAAACATGCCTTATTGATCAACCCAGCAGCATGTTTGATGGCCTCTTCATCACCCCTAAAGAAGCCATCCAAGTCTACTAATGGTTCATTGAGCATATCATTGTTGTTTTCTTCTTGTTGCATCGAATCGAACCCGGCCCAAATGAACTCTTTTGGTAACTTGGGTTGGTTTTGTATCATTGATGGATCAAACACTATGCTCTCATTTGAGCTCATAATCATATTTTATAAAAATATGCTTAGTAAAGTAGGTTTATAATTTGATTGGAAATGTATATATTTATATATGTGTGTTAAGTACTAACTTTGGTACAATTTTTAAGTGAAATAAATGAAAAAATGTGGGTGCTATTTATAGGGGAAAATTCTAATGAAAAAATAATAATGGGGGCCAACCATTGTGGTCCAATATTGGGAAGTACAATGAAATGAGGTTAAAGAAGATGAGGTAAGACTAAAAAAGATTGGAATAGTAGTATAAAGAAACAAAACATACATTTACTTGGTCACTCTTATCTTCCACTAGACAACAATTTGATTTTGCAGCAGCACATTTTATCATTTTCTTGCTCTTCTTCTTCATGTGTGTTTTTGTCCAATTGTGTTCTCTTGTTGCTATCTCAAAGCTTGCTTCTTCCCTAGGGCTCCCTCTTTGGGTTTATATATATAATATATTTATATCCCTCGGTCGCGTAACATTTCACGATAGTTGATGATTTTGCCATTGAATCGGTGACTATTACTTTGGACTCTTCTTTAATTCGGATAAACTGTACGTCCGAATCAAGTATTATTTTGTTAGAAACAATGAAAAACATACTAGTAATAGTTATCGTGTCAAATTATGTGAAGACGATTACATGTGATTTATTACAGAATTATTTTGTAAATTGATAGTTTTTCAATTTTGATAAAATAAATTA